TGCATGCCTGTAAATTGTATGGCCACCCAACTACTGTTGATTGTAACTTCTTAAGGGCAGTTCCACGCCAAAGATTATATACACATGTACATACATATACATGCATGTACATGTATACATACATGCATGTATGTATATACATGTACATATAATGCATGTATGTATATATACACATATACTTGATGAACAAGACATGTCTATTAAGGGCCTCTTATGTACTCTAATCTATGTTTCTTAGTTAATGTAGCATTTTTACATTGAACATGATCAAGTCAAATGTCTACAGCATACCTGCTATATGGTTTATAAAATTGGGTATCCAAGTTTGGAGAATTATACGTGTCTGTTATGAATTTTTAAAGCTGAACCTTCCTCCCTCACCTTTAGGACTTTCCCAGGTTGCTTTCTCCTATCACCTAGCTGGTACATGCTCAGGAAATGTAAATTAACTTTAATAGTAGAAAAAGAAACATATAATTAGGAAGGTAAATATGCTTTTGAAAAAGTTCACAATGCCCTGAGGGCCAGGAGTCATTTTTTCTTGATAGGATGAAGACTGTGGGTTCAATCAGATAAATACATTAGGGTTTGCTAGAGGCTCCCCATGTTGTAGGAGCATGGGACTCAGTCCGAGATTATTCTCTAACTGGTTGGAGTTCAGAAATTTTAAAATGACATCAGCATGAGCCCTAATAAAGAGCTGCTTTGGTACACAATGTAAACATACAACATGGACCCAGTGGCTTTACGCTCTTGGAATTTCCATTGGATTTTGTATTCAACTGTGGTGATGAAGTCCTTATATTTGTTCTTCCAGAAAGTACCACCACCAAATCTGACCCCAAACTGGATAGGATTTAATTGCCTAAAGGGTTAACACTACTAAGTTAAGTATACATTCTACAAAGATTTTCACTTAAATTGCAATTTTGTAAGCCATACATCAGGCATGCCCTAGACTTCATCCATTAGATAATGGACTTAGATAATGGACTTCATCCATTAGATAACAAACTCTTTGACAGAGGCTAAATGAAGGCAAAAAAATGATTCCGTCCACCTTTATTTCAAGGTATTTATATCTGCCACAGCAAAGGGAATTTTCTAGACTAAATCTTGCTTAAAAAAAAGAAATTGCTTAGCTTTACCAAACAAAGTTTCCTGCCTTATCTATCTTTAAACATTTGACTTAACTTTTCATTCTAGAAAACTGAAACATTTCAAGTCAAACCATACAGTACAGCCTGTACTCATTTGTCTTACATAGACCTAGTCATAATGTTATTTTTTAATTCCTTTAATATGACTATTAGCACAGATATAGCTAGTAGGATTTTTTTTAAATCTGAGGTGATCAAAAAGCTTGGAATAAAGAGTACTATAACAAATTTATAAGCTCTGTTATTAATCTTCTTATCTCATTATACTGAAAGAGAAACAAGTATAAAATGTCAAATTACTTGCTCATTGACGCGTCACAAGTCAACACGTATCTAGCAATGTACAACCCAATACGCCTCAAGAAGTTCAACTGAACAAATATTTACAAAACTTCTAGTAAGGTCAAGGCCCTGTTGAGGTCTGTGCTCATAGCACCCTCACTCATCGCCCCAGCCAGGTACACCCACCTGCTCTAACTCATTAGTCTTCAGGTTGGCCTCATTAAAGGACTGACTCCCATTTGAGTAGGAAAAATATCAAGGTTTCTATGAACTACATCAGCTCAAGTTGATTAGATAGTCTTTTACTTCTCCTTCAAAGGGCTTGTTGGCCTGCCAGACTCTGATGGCGTACCTAGGATTTGGGTCCACAAATGGTCTGACCTATAGATGACTACAGTGTTCATTTGTTCCTGAACTGTAAAACAAGGTTTTAAGCTATAGCTTTACCTTCTTTATTTATGGACACCCCCCCACACCAAACCCCCCAACTCTGACTCTTCATTCGGGACTATCCACACAGATATTCCTATAGCTTTTCCAACCCCGTCCTGCCTGTGTTTTACCAAGATTGCCTCACTCCTGGTTAGGCAATGTTATCCTCCTGCCTAGCTTTGATGAATTCAGATACCTAAAGGGACAAAGAGGTTTCACCACTATGTAATTATCACCCAACAACTCAATACACAAATAGTCACTTGAGATTATAATGGCTCTTCCTTAATCAGAAAGCTTTACTTGGCACAGTTTTTTTTTAAAAGTGTTTGTAGGATGGCAATGCAGCATAACTTTTGGTTTTATTTTAAATCTAAGCAATTCAAGGTGCATTTCTTACTATCTCTCCTTGAGGATAGTACGGGAAGATAAGAAGAAAACATCTCTATTGTAAGTGACCCAAATTTAACTTAACATAGGACACACTTTTCAGCTCCCTTCTGAACACCTAATCCTTATGTCTTGCATACAATCTTGGCCACTTGGTCTTGCATGCCCATGTAGTTTGCTGAAATCTTGGACCTGGCTCTTATACCAATCTTTCTAATTTATTTTTGCTATAAGAGCATTGAACTGAAGCTAGTATTAAATGGAAGCAAGCAATCAGTAGTGACAACTACTGTATATTATAAGCATTTCTTTGTAATTTACCCTCTCCTATGTTCTCCACATTCACAAACTTGCCACAAGAACCAAACAAAATAATATTAAACCTTTTCTTAAAAGCAAGATCCATAATTAGAATTTTTTTTAATTAACACCGTCTCTCTTGTGTTGCTTTCTCACTGTGTTCTGTTTACCTAACAAAATTAATCTTGCAGGATAAGTATGAAAATTTCTAGAAAAATAAAACTACACAAGACTGTGAAGGGTTAAATATACACTACCAAACATCTTAATTCCCGGAAGTCTTGGCCTAGACAGTTTCATTAATACTAGGGCTTTATGCCTTTGTACAGTAAAGACATAATTTTACCAAGAGAGAAACAACTTCTTTGAATATAAAAGATCTCATACTCCTAAAAATTACAAGGTAAAGAGCACAGTGTTGATCACTTTAAATATTGAAACACTGCGGTAGTGACTTGCCCAAGGTTGCACAATCAGCTAGTGTGAATATGGAATAGGATCTGGAATTCCTGACACAAACTGTTCTAATCAAAATTCTTTCCTAAAAGACTCATTATCAAAGACAAACTTGCACACGGATGTCTAATAACAGCTTCCCACCTGTGCCGCATTAACTGCTATCACCTTCCTGTTCTTCTGGCCCTCCTGGACCAATATATGGTGGTGGTATGGAGTCTCTGCACAGCAGCAGCTGTTGCCACCATCGTGACTATGCCTGGACTCTGGTGGAAGCTGCTTTCTCAGTCCTCGTTCTGGGGAGACTGGATATGGTTGCAACTGTCTGTATGCACCAAAAGGGAGGATGGGCCAGAGCTCTCTGCTTCAGTGTGCCAGCACCTCTCGTCATTCCCTCCCCCCCTCCCAATCCGGGCACCAGACAGAAGGCCTTTACTGTCTGATTATCAGGCAGGTATTAGATAGAAACCCTCTTAACAATTCAGGTCAGTTTAGAATTTAGACATTTCACCATTTGAAGACATAACTCAGGACCTGTCAATCTGGAGTTAGAATGCCTCTCACCAGAATCTTGAATACAAGAACAGACAGCAGAAATAGTTGGGAGATGACGTCAGAAGTTCTGGGCTAGTGTCCTGCACTTCTCCTTGAAAGTAAAATCAGTGGGTCTAGAAGAATCTATGTGGCATTAGACTTGTTTTTAAATAAGTCATTGGGCTATTCCTTGTAAAATCAGTAGAGAGACCTTAGAAAAATGACTTTTATTTATAGATAAGAAAATGCCATGTAAAATGGATTAATGGTTGTAGTTTCACATTAATAAATATTACCCACTTATAAAAACAACAATCTTTAAATATAACTATTGTTAATGTGACAGTAAATGGTGTTTTGAAGAGCATTCTCTGTGGCGCTAAGGGAAGAGCTAGGCTTTCTTTCCTCGCTTCAGTGCTTGCTAACTATTCTGAAAATGTTACACATTTATTGTAAACACATGCTTCCGTGGCCTAACAAAAAGGCACGATCCCCTCTGCCTGGCAGAATTTAAAACAGAAAGGGCAGCGAGAATTCCTCAACAAATATAGCCCTTCATTTCCCGATGCCAAGTGTGTTAAATATAAATCTTCTCCATCATTTCCCACTCTTAGTTCTCAGGAAGAAAGTTGATATGGTTCAGCATAGTGAAAACACAGCTTTAAAAGCTAGCCTGCCCTCATTAAATTATTCTGCTGGCTGTGTGTTCTCATTAAAAATGCATAAAGATCAGATAATTGCAGTGAGCATTATTCACCCAGCTTTACTTTTTTATATAATGGTTCTACTTCTAAGCTGGAAACAAAGACTCAGCCTTGCCAGAAAAAGAATTGTAAACATTGAGCTACAGTATCAAAAACTTGCCAGAAACTGCCTGGCTATGTTATTAAAAATGTGCTTTTCAAACTCCATTAAAAGGCACAATGTATCCGAGGTGTATCAGTCCTTGGTTTCTAAACAGACTGTCCTTTTCATTTGGTCAAGCATTCTATCCATAATTGTTCACAAGGGAGATTTTTTTTCCCTTTCTCCCCCCCCCCCAATTATGAGTCAGTTTTTCAAATAACATAGTCATTGTAAACTTTATTGATTTAGGGGTTAACTATCCCTGTATGAAACCTTTCCAGAGCAAGCTATGAGAAGGCTATGAAGAATCCAATTAAGTAGCACAGTACTTTTAGAAAGATCTACCGATCTTTTCCTTAAATAAAATCACGATTTTCTCTCTCATCCTCAAATCGAGTGGTTTTGATTCAAGTTGTGCTACCTCTCTCCCTGAAAGGAAAATGTTACGTAAAACTCTAGTCTCTGCTTCAAGCGCTACATTTGCATCGGAGGAATTCAGTTTCACTGGCTTCCCTAAGCAACACACATGGTATGCAGCACACTGCAGCAAACTCTTTAAACATTCAAAAAAAAAAGGTGGGGGGACAATGAATTTCCTACCTTATTTAGCTCCGTCTGCTCCTCACGTTTGCAATCAGCACAGGGCCATCTGGTAAAATCAAACGGCCAAACCTTTCCCACTGCATCGTTAGGAAGAAACGTTCGGGTAAATACTTCTCATTCCCTTTTTATTGTACTCGAGAAGCCTTCTGCCTGGGAATTTTCCCCTCAGATGATGAAGCAAAGACACCGTCTAAACTCTGTTGCTGTAAGACTGCAGCCCTTCCTTCCAACAAGTCCCTTCCAGTCGATGCTAGCCAATCAACAGCCATTTCGTCAGCTCTACTGGTCTGAAACTGGTTGTAATAGGATGACTGACAAGGCAACACAGCACTTGTAATATGTGAAAACAGTGCATCCATACTGATGAAAAAGGAATTTCCCTCTCAGAAGAAAGCAGTCATAGCATGAAGATAAAGTGTCATATAACTGGCAAAACAGGGATATACCGAACTAAAGACAACCTTTTTTTTTTAATGATCTCTTATTTGCAGGATAGATGCTTTTACAAATACAAAATTTTGCAGAACAGAGATGAAATAAGGCCACAAATAATAAAACTGAAGTAATTGCCCTATATGACAGGGCAGATTTTTAGAAAAAGAAACAAAGAAAAGAAACTCTACGTACTTCACGAGATTGTCATTTATCTTTCCAAATTTTTTTTTATGATAAAACTAGAGCTCATTAGCTGCAATGCATATTCAAAACCCAAACATGTTGCTAGCTCACGAACACATCAATTTTACTGTACAACATCTGCTGTTGCTATGGTTAATTGCTAGAGCCTGTATATCTTTCATCTAAGTTTTCAAACCACCAGGGACTGTAATTAGGGAACACTGAACAATAAAAATGATATCTATACATTACCCCTTTATAATTTTGGCAAGAACCCACGAATGGATCAGGTGTACCTTAGCTGACTTAGCTGCTATTTATTAAATTCTGTGCCCTTACTCAGGTTGTCTTTTATGAAGAAATGATTTCAGGATGATGCCTGCTGCCTTGGCAAAAATCTTGCCAAACATGCTTAGTACATGAGCCAGAACTCCCCATCAGGTGCTCTCCCACATATAGATTTCTCTGTGTGTCTGGTGTTCAAGAGGCGCAGTTGGGGGAAAGAACAATAACAAGGTAAATAAAGGTTTACATTAAGAAAAAATGCACAGCAGCTCCCCACATCTTGAAGCCTCTGGAGTGTTTGGAAAATACACGAAGCAGGTACTTTCCTGGTATTAAGCACAATGAGAGCAAAAAATAAATAAGTATAATGATGGCATGAGTACACACAGGCAGGAATAAAGTTACTATCCACGTGAAAGGTTTAACCCAAAGCACCATTGTTTATAAGCGACTGTTCAGTGCACCTGTGATGAAGTTAACTCTTGGTGTAGAACTGGAAAGCTTGTTTTTAGCTTAGGAAGAGTGTTTTTTTTAAAACAATGTATTTCACATGGCTCGTCAAACACCTTTTCTTTGGTAAAGCAATGTATACAGTAAGACAGTCAAGTAAGGGCATAATTTCAAAGTTCTTTGTCTTGGAAATAACCTCAAAATAGTTAGCTCTATTTTGCTAAATTTTTAAATATTTAGACAAATAATGAGGATTTTAGTAATTTTTGTCTTGATCTGGACATAGAATTTCATCAGTGTTGAGAACCCATGGTGTGGAAATTCCTTCCTCTGATACAGGTCAGCAACTTGTCTGAACCATATTCTTAACTTTCTAATGATCACATACTTGGTATGTTTCTTTTATTCTGTCTTTTTTTCAAAAAAATCTAGATCTGTGATTTCATAGGTGAAGTGAGTTCCCAGTAACGAACTTCCTCTACCAATGCAAGTCATCATCTACTCTGTAACTTAGAGTCTAGAGTTGCTAGGGACATTGGGAGGTTAAGTGACTTGTTTAGGGTCACACAGTCATATTATAGATAGGTCATGAAACCATGCCTTCCTTTTTCCTAGACCAGATCTCTATCCACCATGCCATGCTGTCTTTCATGTGTCATGAAAGGCAAATAATATCTTTGAAAAATGAAAATTTGCTTATTGTAGAAACATAGGAGTTAGAGCTATAAGGGGGAGATTCACATAATCTCAAAGCTTATGGGACTCCAGAAGCCATTAAGCGCAACCCATGTCTTGCTGTGAATGCCTTACACAACATATCTGACAAATCAAGCTTTTGTTTGACACTCAGTGTGAGACAACTTATTCTTGTAGCAATCTTTTCCACTTATTCATCCAGGTCAACTCTTATTTTGCAGATAATGAAACAAGCCCAGAGACATGCAGAGCCTTACCCAAGATCACACTGGAAGGAAAGAGCACAGCTGGGGATTCAAAACCAGTTCTTCTGACTCTAAACCCAGTATACCATACTACATTATTGATTTCCCCACGTGGTTCCTTAAAATAATCTCTTTAAAAATGGCCACTTATTTTGTATTCCCCAAAAATATCTAACAAATTCAGAAATCCTGCAACTGGAAGGAACTGAAGAGATTGTCCAGTCTAGTCCCTTTCACTCAGGCAGGGAAACCATTATCAACATTGTTTGTGTAAAACAACTGAGCTCCATAAAGTTTAAGTGACTTTTCAAAGTTAATATAGTATATCTCAATTAATCTGAATTACATTCATTCCACAACCTCTAAAAATTGTTTCAAATTTGATTAATTTGTTTTTTTAATTTTGATTAGTCAATAAAGCCAGTCTTATAAAACTACCTTCAGTAATAATCTATTTAAAAAAACATTTTATTGATAACTTTCATTTTTATATCACCTTCACTTCCCAATACATCACTCTCCCTTTCCCTTCCAGAGTGCCATCACAAAGAATGAAAAGGAGAAGAAAAATTCAGTGAAACTATTCAACATATCAAACAAATCTGACATCCACAGTGTTTCATACATTTGTAGATATGACTATGTCTGCAAGTCTACAAATATGGAAGGGCAGTACATTCTCATAGGTCTTCTTTGGGGCCAAGTTTGGTAGATAATTTCACAGCATTCCAATTCTGATTTTTATTTTGCTTGTTATTATTGTTTCTGTCTACATTGTTGTGGTCATTGCAATACATGTTGGTTTATAACACGCATGTGTGTATATGTATACACGCACATAGGTTTTATACCATATATCTATATGAAAGTACAGGAATATACTTCCTTCCCCTTCTGACTTCTAGCACTGTCAATGACACTAACATTCCCCCAAGGTATTAAGTCACCAAGGTATTAAGCCATAGTATTTATCTTTGACTCATTACCCTCCTTTATCAGTCATAGCCACTCTGTCACCAAGGCCTGTTAATTTTTCCTTCAAATTGTCTCATAGATTCATTTATTCCCCTCAGTTCCCACCTCTGCCTCATAGTTCAGACCCTTATCATCTCAGCCTTGTATTACTCTGGTAGCCTTCTTGCTGGTCGGTATGACAGGTTATCCATCCTGCTGCCAGACTAATCTTCCTATAGCTCTGCTTTCATCATGTCACCTCCCTGTTTATAATCCTCATAGAGTTATAAAATATTGAGTTAGAACATAACTCAGAGATCATCTAGTTCAGAAACCTCAGTTTTTTTTCTGCTCCAAATGGACCTGTGATCAGAAAGATGTGAGTATTCCTACCTAGTGTAGCTCTCATTCTTATCTTCCTTTGTGGTTCTCACACGGGACATTCCTCACGTTCTTTTGACATTGTAAGGATATCAGTGGAGCTTACAGACTGTCTATGAGAAAATTAAATACCAGGAATGTGATGGGACTTTCTGAAGGTCATGTAGCTAATACATAGCAGAACCAGAAGAGAAACTCATATCCCTTGACTCAAGATTCAGGGCTCTATCCATTACACTAAGCTCATTAATGACTGTTTCCCATCCTAACAAATCTAAAAGGTATCCAAGTTCTGCTTGGATTCCAAGACCTTCAAAGATCTTATTTAACCTACCTAGCCTTATTCCCTAAATTTCTTGACACTCACTCTATGTTCTAGTTATATATATCATTCAATGAATATCTCATGCTCATTCCTGTCCCTGTGCCTTTGCATGGGTTGCCCCCATGCTGCCTACAATATTCCCTTTCCTTCCTTTCATGTATTGAAACTCCTTCCTATGCTTCAATGCCTGGCTCAAGGTTGACTTCCTCTGTGAAGCCATCCCTGAGTATGTCAGCCCTAACTTATGCTTCATTATAGTGAACTCCTATAGTATTTCTAGTTTATGCTAGTCTGAATTTAGATTATATTGGCATGGCTCAATCAGAAGGCATAGAGGGCCCAGCCTATAGTCACACCAGCATGTCTGAGTAAACTGGGGGAGTGAAACACAAGGAACTGTCATAAAAAAGATAGATAATTAGGGCAGGAAAGTTGAGTCATAAAGTCAACGTTGTAGCCTTTCCTCTGTCTTTTGTCATTTTTCTCAGACCTTGAATTTCAGTGCTGTCAAGAAAATCTGGTACCAAAGTAGCCTGTCCTTTCAGCTTATATTTACTTGACTCCATGTTGAACCCCATTTCTCTCATCCCCCTTGACCTCTCTGAAGCATTTTATATACTGAATACCTTTCCCTCCTAGAAACTTTCCCACTTCTGAATTTTCATGTCATTGCACTTCCTTGGTTCTCTTCCTTGTCTAATCATTCTCATGCTCCTTCCCTAGTTTATCAACCATATCATGCTGCTTAACTGTGGGTTTACTACAAGGCTCTGTGTTGGGCGTTTTCATTTCTTCCTCTCTTACTTGGTGAGCTCATCAGCTCCCATGGGATTAATTATCAACCCTCTGCAGATTACTCCCAAATCTATTTATGTAGCCCTAGTCTCTCTCCTGAGCTCCAGTCTCACCATATCAAATGTCCTATTGGATATTTCAAACATCCATAGGTATCTCAGATGCTACATGTCCAAAATTGAACCTATCACCTTTCTCCTCACTCACCTTCTTTCTGAAGTTTCCTTTTTCTGTTGAATAGACCACCTGCTTTTCAGTCACTCAGCTTTACAAACTCAGTGATATTCTTGACATCTCACTTTCTCTTACCCAACATATACAATCAGTTGCCAAACTCATCGTTTCCACTTCGCTGATGTCTTTCATATCCATCTTCTTCTCTTCAGTAACATGGCCACCACCCGAATTCAGGCCTTCATTGCATTGCACCTGACTATTGCAATAACATCCTAATGGACCTTCCTGTACCTC